GTTGATTTGTGCCGTCCATCGACCATTATCTTTTCTTTGTTCCGTAATCTGACGCGGCGTGCTCAAGTACGTACATGTACACATCGTATCGTTACTTGAACGGTGTTCGTCGTTGTATATGCGCGACGCGCGAGTTGTTCCGCCTTCGCCATCATTTTGGAATTCGCGTCCGCGTGAAAAGTGAAAATCGATGACTGCAAAAGTGCACGATTGACACTTTTTTATTTGTGATCGAAGCTTTAATCGCCAATTGGCATCCGCAATCGTAAGTTTGATTCATCAATGTCTCTCTCTCCTATTCCTTTCAAAACTGACACAATTTTGCAAAAATTATATTTTTATTGTAATTAATATAATTATTATTATAATTAATATATTTATAATAAATATATTAATTATATCATTATTTATATAATAATATATATTAATTTTATTAATTATATAATTACAAACTTAATTATAATGTATATGTATACATTCACAGAAACTTTCTCTCTCTCTCTCTCTCTCTCTCTCTCTCTCTCTCTCTCTCTCTCTAGCTTTCTGTCTTTGAATGCTAATTTTACTATAAATATCATCAAAGAGATAACATGTCTGAGTCACGAAATGTATAGAACCGAGTTTCTATGATCTAGCCGATTTAGCACATTTCGAAAGTATAGCCTTGTAATAACAGATTTCGTAGGCCAATCTAAAGTTGTGATATTTTCCGGAAAAAAACAAATAATAATGACTTATAATTCTCGTGTTTTTAACCGACTGGAAATAGGGTTTCTTTTTGCAAACTAAAGAAGCCGATCAAATGAACAAAAGTACATATTCTCGATCCAGTTAATTCTATATACAAATTGAATTTATCTTTGTTATAAGCTTTTTATTTAAATCTTGAATATTAAAATAATTAATGGAAACAATAAATATAGAAAACGGGCTAGCTAAGAACCAAGCGCGGCAAATGATCCGCAAAAGTTTTATTTTTATTTCTGTTTTACATATCTTTCAATCTTGACTGCGCGCCGATTAAATTTGTCAGACTTGAAACCTAGCTCTGGTTGGAGTAGTCAAATCCCCCTTTACATCAAATTAAATCGAATCGATTTAATTAGGTGAAGGGATTTTACTAATCCAATCGGAACTGTGTTTCAAGTCGACTGACAAATTTAGTCGGCGCGCAGTAAAGATTGGAAGATTATGTAAAATAGAAATAAAAGATAATGTAGAATAGAAATAATAGATAATAGAAATAAAAGTAAGACTTTCGCCGCGCTTGGTTTTTAGTTAGCCCGTTTTCTATATTCGTGGATTTCCATTGGAGCCTACACTTAAAATTTTGGAAACAATAAAGTCACAAGAAACGATCGCATTTTTCGATATTTACATCTTCATGTTTTATTATCAAATAATATAATCACCAATCGATATTATTATTTATTTATGACGAAACTGTTGAAGAGAAGAATGGAAGAAGTCGGTTAGTTTTTGGTTAATACAATTCGATTCGAAAGTTAATCAACACAAAATATAATTGAAACAATACACTATAACAGCATGAGTCGTTATGCTTGTCGTAGCTTGCGCAATATAAATGCAGAAATTGTGACATCAAAAACGAAGTGTGACGATTTCAAAAACAATAATGCTGCTACACATTCTCTCGGACATAGCGTTACATTTGCATCACGTAATACATGGCACGATGACGTGATTGATATAAATCTGAAATAAAAGGTGATTAATACTTGTGCAAGGAACACAATTATTTTCGTATCGACTGATTCTCTTTTCATCGACAAAGAAACGTGAGAGGAACGTACGTGATTCTCGCTGACACAAGACATTTCTCACTTTACACAATCAGGTTTAATGTTCAATAAAAACAACTCAAGGAAACGATCTAACGCTCCGAATTTCAAACTGCACGCTTGAGAATTATGTCGTTTAGGAGAAAAACTTGTTCTCTCAATGTTTTCTCTTTTATCTCTTATATTCGCACGAGATTGTAATTTTCGAGAGCTACTTCAAGAGTACCGTGTCGCATCAATTTCGTTTTTCTTTCGATCTATCGACGGTAACACACACGTGAATGCTCTCAACACGTAAAAGCTGATAGGCGAGCACACGTAAAAATGCATACCTACACTGTGCTCCATAACGAGCGATTCTCCCTTGAAGTTATCCTTACTTTCACCTCTTGCTTGCAACATCTACATCCACGTATATATTGTTGCGAAAATATAGCTCATGACGGTGTCTATTGCACACCAGCTTGCCCAATTTATCCTCCGACAAATCTTACTTCTCTGAGTTTCTTGTTAAATAAAAAAAAACCCTGATTTTTGCGACGAGGAGGAACATGAAACAATAGTTTGTCATTGGTGTTTCCAATTTGTCAGAATCTTACTTCTTTCAACTACCTGTTAGACAAAAGAGCCGATCTTTGCGACGAATATGATGAGACAATTTTATTGTGCTCCCAATTTGTCGTTCGAACTTTACTTCTCTCAGTTTTTTGTTACATAAAGAAGTCAATTTTACGGTTCGAAAAGAAGTATAAAGAGACAATTTTGTAATTGGTTTTCCCAATTAATCGATCTTACTTCTATCAGTTTTCGGTTACATAAAGAAAAATAGCGAATTCTTATCGATGCTAATAAAAAGAATTCTTCTTTTCGCGAATCTCGCGTGGTTTAATTTCATTTTAATACGGAGCGGCAGAGTCCTTCATTTCCAACGTTATTTGCCTCAAGCAAAACGCCTGGGAAAGCTACTCAGCTAAGTACCTACTAAGTACTTAGTACTTACACTCGGGAAAATTGTAAATATACGATGAGAGGACGAAGATGATTGAAAACATGTTTTCAAATGTTCGATAAAGACAATAACAAGCGCGGCTTAAAAACTACACGATCGTTAAATATCTATTGCAGGCATGCATTAAGTGCGAGATTTATTAACGCTCGAGAGTGGCGGTCACAATTCAAAACAGAGACTTTGTTTTATTCGCATTACGATGACGTCAAAGGCCTACCAAACTCGCGTGCGTACAGATATACAAAATATTTTTGCTCCATATTTGGACCTTATCGCTTATAGTTCACAGGAGCATGCAATAGGAGAATCGCATATCGCATTGCGTAACGCGGCATCGTTATTTCCTCACTGATGGTGACAGTTTCTTTTTCCTTCTTTAAGCTCGTGTGTACGCTACGAAGTTCATGATAATATCTTCGACGCGCAATTACTCTCTTCTCTTTTTTTCTCCTTTATTGCGAACATTCTGCTGGACTGATAGCCAGCTGCCGTTCGTTAACTTAATTATTTCGAAAACAGTGTGACGACTGTCCGCGGGTCGACTGAAAATTCAACATTATTAACTTCCCGACATTCATTTACGATTAGATAAGATTAACGATTCCGCGCTGTCAATGAAATCATCAAAGGTTACTGGACTTGGTACTCTCGGAGTATGATCAAGATAATACGATCTTGTTGACGTGTACCCGACCACAATTGACGATCTGCGTTCTACATAATTGGGAAATCCGCGAGGCTTTTTCAATTATTCGTTTTCTCGGAGTATTGCGTTAATTCTTTTAGTCATCCTCTAATTACTTACTGACCTTTTATTCGTTCACTAAGTCGTGTTTACGCGTGTTTATCAGGAAATGTATAGAGATAAGGGGACTCTTATTCAACTATTTTATCTCGTAATCACTTTAAGTAAATATTAGATGCGTCAAGAGTTTAATTGATATGGTATAACTATTATCAATCTTATTATAAATAAAGATAGATACGCTTTAGTCGGTTCTTGTAAGAACGGGCGACGAGAGGCGCGGCGGAATTTAAAAATAAACGCAGACGAAGGTATAACAACAAATGTTTTGGTCCAATGTATTGTAAAATATAACCTTTTTCATTCACTACTTTGAAATTCAGATTGCGAAATACAATTCTGTGTCACGGACGACCGGTAGTGGCCGCGTGTATCTGTATGCACATGTCGTCAAAACGAGTGGCTCTGCTTACGGGTGAATCATCGTGCGTCGGACAGAAAATTATATCTCGTAAAATACAAAGCTACCTTTGTTCCCCGGTCACAAAACGACGCACGCTTTATGCCGATTATATTACGTGGCGAATTAAGCCACAAATTCCTCCTCGGTTAATTTATTGCTTTATTTATTTATTTATATAGAACGGAGAGGAAAGGAAAAAAATCGGAGATTTTTTATTTGTTTGTACAATATCAATTATACTATAGCCGAGGAAATACATATGTTGACACTATATGCTAATTTTACCGGTAAATGATAATTATTGACTGCGTGAATTTTACAATAATAGCCTGCCATTTTAGTTCATACTTGCGAAAGGTGTTATTGAAGAAAAAAATTTAAAGTATCAATAAAGAAGATCTCCTTTGATTGCAACCGGAGTTACAAATCGAAAAAAGTTTTATTCAACGGGATTCTGTTTTATAAAATTGTAAATTTATAGCCTCCCTAGCCTTCTTCAAATTGTTAATTTATCCATCTGTTACATGCGTCGCAGATTTCAAATCGTCTGTAATCCCGAAAACAAAACTATTATGTAGATTTGTAGAATTCCGTTGAATGACGGAAATATATAAAACCCACTCGTCATGGACTTTATCCTTCAATAGCACAACGTCATAAATTGCCATTGTGTTTACTTCAGGTCTAATTAGCATTAAGCCGGTTTATCTAAGAAAAGAATCAGAGAGCGCGGTTACTTAATACGTTGAAAAAATAAGAGTTTCTTTTTACGATCGTTGCGAGTCATTTAATTGCAATGTTGTCTCGTTTTACGTCTACCTCTGCGACCCCCGACTATCGTTATTGCGGATCTTCGTGGATCTCTATCGAAAGCCCGCCGCGCTGGCTCTTTGTTCTAGGTCGCCTGGATTGGAGCGTCAGATGAGCGTTCGAGCATAATCGATCCTTATCACTCGATCGGTTCGCATAAAGCGCGCTACGATGGAAGTATTGATGCACGAGGCGAGCAACCGGCGGGAAAACGGCACGGATACGACGGTCTGTATGGCCGACCCCAGATCTACGTTCAACGAGAGGCGAGAGGACGCCGGGATGCCGTCCGACACCGCGCACAACAACAACGAGGAATCAATTGACATCATCTTCGAGAACATTACCTACACCGTCAGCCTTGGCTTCAGAAGAGGTAAGCGATCCTTTAGTTACACTGTTAAATATACTAAAGGATAGAATTTAAATCAGCGTACCTTGCGTTAAATAACATTTTGTTATCTTTAACTACCACGTGTGTCGAAATTTGTTATTTCAACACAAAACAGTATTATTTTAACTTTGTTGGTTTGAGTTAAATTAACGACATATTGAGTAAGAGCACTGGTGACCTATAAGAATGGTTAAAAATGACTCGAATTGAGTATAACTAGATACTATATATGAATTAAACAGTGTATAAATTAAACCAAAAAGTCACTTAGCTTACGAATATATGTATAATAAATAGTATTTGTGTTGCTTCCCGACGTAAAAAAATTTTCTTATGCAAAACGACATCTTGGAAGACGATAACTTAAGTCGATTGTGATAACCATGACAATAAGTGAGAATTCCCTCGGAGTTGGAAACGAGGAATTATGGAAGCGTTGCTATATAACGATGCCTTCAACGGCGCGCGGCGTTAGGTAATCATTGCGGTGGAAAAATTTCAGGGGAGAAAGAGATCTTGCACGGGATTAACGGAAGGCTCCCTAGCAAACAGTTGATCGCTTTTATGGGGCCATCCGGCGCAGGAAAGTCCACGTTACTCGACGTCCTGTCTGGTTTCCGCACAACCGGAGTGGACGGTGTCATATATGTCAACGGCCGTGTTCGGCATCTCAACACTTTCCGGAAGTAAGCACAGTCTGCCGCATACTTTAATCTTATCAAACTTGAGACTTTCTAAATTAACATAAGCTACGTAAGTGATTAAATAATCAAGGAAATTATATAGAGGCATTTTATACATCTCGGTGTCTTTCCGCTCGATTTGACACGACTCATGCGTTGCCAATTTCTTTCGTTGCTGTTTTAACGCTTCGTTAATTATCCCTCCTCAGATGCAGCGCCTATATCACGCAAGAAGATCGATTGGAACCCCTGCTCACCGTGATCGAGAACATGAGGGTCGCCGCCGATTTAAAGCTGCCGTCGAACACGCCGCAACACAAGAAGGAGATGATCGTGCGTAAAAATTTATTAACTATTAACTATTTCGATAATTGATAAGAAAAAAAATCATCACGGTGATTTATTAAAATCTAGAAAGAATTATAAATCACACAGTGCTGTCAATGCTTTGTCAAATCTCATTATCGCTTGATAATTATTTAATTGTTATTTGAGGATAATATAATAATGTGTATCATTAGTTGATCAGCACCAGTGTTAATTGACGTATTAATTAAATGACAGGTGAGATTTATCGTTGAACCGATTTAAAATAAATTATAATACTTTATAAGGATCAATTGCATAATGTTGCAGATCGAAGACATTCTCACGACACTTGGTTTGTACGAACACATGCACACGAGATCAGATCGATTGAGTGGCGGCCAAAAGAAACGACTCTCCATCGCATTGGAATTAGTTAATAATCCCATGGTGATGTTCCTCGACGAACCCACCACGTAAGTGTAGTGATTTGGACTTTGATCATTCGATGCTATCTGACTTTCCTATTTTTTATATATAAGCTCGAAATTGAATGGCTGATCCTCTTTCAATCGTCACGTTCAATGTTAACATCTTAATAATTGCATATTCTCGATAAATATTTACACATTTAAGTGCAATAATTCAATTTCTGTTGCTTTTTACTTAAATGATTTTTTACAATTGATAATCTATCTTTCTCTAATAAGGATGGACAGAATTTTTTTATTATTTTTTGTTTTGCCTCGTCATTTATCGCTGTACTTTTATTGACATTATCATATCATAATATTTCGTTACGGCGAGAACTACTATTGTAATTATGTTACACAATATATTGAATATTAGCGTTTCTCTGGAGTACAATATATATATAGTATTTTCAATTTTTACCCAAAATTGTTAATAACTATTAATTTATGAATATCGCTAATGCTGTTTAAATAAAGATTATTCATTAACAGCCATCTTATATTTGTTATTATATTTTTACATTTGCCATACTTGTTACAGAGGTCTGGACAGTTCATCTTGCACGCAAGTCGTAAACTTGCTAAAAATTTTGGCGCGACAGGGTAGGACAATAATTTGCACTATTCATCAGCCAAGTGCGTCCTTGTTTCAATTGTTCGATCAGGTAAGTAAGTGGGTCACAGAAATTATAAAAATGCGTTATAGAAATGATAAAAATTCCTGCTCAAAAACATCGATCTCGTTTTGATTCTCATTTTTAGAATTGCATTTATATGATTAGAATAATGACAGGAAAATCAAATTTCTCTCGCAGGTATGTGTGTTGACGAATGGAAACTGTCTTTACCAAGGAGCAACGAGCAAGCTCGTGCCATATCTGGAAAATATGAAAATGCCGTGTCCTATGTATCACAATCCAGCAGATTACAGTACGTATAAATAATTCATCCTTCGGCGAGTTGTTCAGAAATTTGTTAATATTGCTATATGCTGCTATATGCAAATATTGCAGTAATCGAGCTTGCCTGCGGAGAGTACGGCGATGATAAAATCGATTCATTGATAATGGGATCGCAAAACGGACGAAGTTTGCAGTGGTTCGACAATCCGGAAGCTCTAAGGGATGCGAAAAGCTTGAGAGGTACGGAGAAAATCGAAGATCATAAAAATCACGTTACAATAATATAAATACAAAATTGTGTAATTTTATATTTTATTAAAAATTATATTAAAATAAAAAATATTTTTCTGTGTATTTACATATTTTTGACAATTAATTGCCTTTAAATATTTACATCTGTAACAAAGTATGATATTATAGCGTTAAATCATTGTGCTACAAAATTAAATGGCAGACTCAAGTCTAGATTTATGTGGCATCGTTTAATCTTTGATCGTGTTTTTTTTTCAGCGGCACATCCACTAAAGAAAGTAAGGAACGATAACAGCTTACACGCGACAAATCTCGTTCACCAAATCAAGATCTTGCTAAGGAGAGGATATATCATGTGTAAACGAGATACGGTAAGAATTGTTTGTTCCATCGTGCGTTTTAGAAAATTAAAGACGTTTTCCATTGGAAAAAAAAAAACTCACTGGCACTCAGTGCTGTCAGCGCCAGTGAGTTTTTCCGATGGAAAACGCTATAATATTTTGAGAATTTAGAAAGTGCCAGTCGCCATCGATCTTGACGTAAAGAACGCTACGATCGCACGAAGTTTTGTTTAATAAATCCGTGCATGTATATCGTTGCAGACTCTGACGCATTTGCGCATCATTGTTAACATAGTCGTCGGAGTAATGCTGGGCTGCGTTTTCATGCGATCCGGCGCCGATGGCTCCCGCGTTCTGGACAATTACAATCTTCTCTTTTCCATCCTCATACACCACATGATGACGACGATGATGCTCACGATAGTGACTTGTAAGTATTGATGATTTCACGATGACTATACGGTTCTTCGGTAACTTTTACCGCAAATGAGAGATTGCGTAACGGACAACGTCTCATCTTTGATTTGCAGTCCCAATGCAGATGTCCATCCTCCTGAAGGAACACTTCAATAGGTGGTACAGCTTGAAGGCATTCTACACGGCGATAACGTTGATCGACGTGCCGATTTCGATAGTGTGCTGCATATTTTTTTCGATAATCGTCTATCTCATGTCGGCGCAACCGTTGGAGGTCATTCGATTTTGTATGTTCTTGGCCATCAGCATGTTAATCATGTTTATTGGACAAGGTACCGGTCTCATGATAGGCGCTATATTTAATGTCGTGGTAAGTATTATCAATTATATCAATAATTAATTAAAATTGGTCGATGAGACGCTGACTTGTTCGCAGGCTGTACGATCTTTGCTATTTAATTGCATGTGTAATTAAATAAGTCTCTTCACCGACGTCCAGTCTTATCAGACTTAGAGATATTAATTTTACATATCAGCAACTTCCGTGACTTTGATTCCATTAAATGCGTCATTAACCGTTTTTTTTACTATGTTAATAGTTCCACAGTTTTTTTTTGTAATTATCAGCATTGTTCAGATAAGACTCCTTATATAAATAGCACTTTTTTGTCGCAAAATGTTTCATAAAGAAGGTTTACAATTTTCGAAGTAAAACGTAATAAAGAAACATTTTAACTTGAAGAACGGCACATTTATGGGACCAACATTGGCAGTACCGCTAATGATGTTCGCCGGATTCGGAGTGTCGTTACGCGATCTACCAAGCTACCTCAAGTGGGGTAGCTATCTCAGCTATTTACGATACGGTTTAGAGGGGTAAGAATTGCTTCACGCTTCATAAGTTTTGTATTACCTAGCAATATTGTATACATATATCATGACGTGTATTTCCAATAGTCTATCTATGACGAAATTATATCTCGACATAATTCAATACTTTTTATAATTCAAAATATTACATAAATTAGAATTATTTAATAATAATCCAAAATTATATAAATATAAAGTGTTATTTATGGCATAAATTTAACGTGTGCTTTCGCAGATTCGTTGGAGCCATTTACGGATTGGACAGACCCACTCTGGACTGCAAGGAAAAGGGCGAGCTGTACTGTCACTATAAATACCCTTCGAAATTTCTCTCAGACATCGCCATGAGGGGAGACCAATTCTGGAACGATGTGATCGCGCTCGCTATAATATTACTCATCACACGATGCGGCGCATATATACTTTTACGATGGAAACTCGTGTCATACCGATAATACCGATACGGTTAAACCTTTGGAATGCGATTATCTTATACTCTGACTGCTACTGTATTTAAATAGCTGAGAAACTTACTTAACTACGTAACTCTCGACCTTTCAATTTGTAGCATTGCCTGAAGCCGCACTTGCCGAATGCGTGTAGCTTTCGAAATATTAAAATAATTCGAAATACCGGAAAATGTTAAAAACGACGGGCTAAACAATCATTTCTATTAGTCGCTCATTTGTGTCTGATCGTATATTTTTGATGCTATCTTGAAACTTTATCCGAACCGCATATCTCTATTTATAGCAGAAAAAGAGTGCCACGAATATTAAGCGCTCTGTATATATTCTTTCTGTATATATTGATACATTGTCCGATTATAATCTCGTAATAGTCGCAGGAATGAGTAAGACTGTGCGTATGCCTACGTGACAAGTGTATATATGTACCTCCGAGTTGATATCGAGGGACATTGAGACGGCAATAAGTTCACACACGTAGCAATATATTGTTAGTGAATTACTGCGATAATATTTAATTTTTATACTTAAATGTGATACGTGCGTGATCCTAAGGAATCCTACGTGATAATGCGTGATAATGTACGCGTCGCGCGTCAATGGAATGAATTGATACTTCCGTTGAAAGATACGCCACTTGAACATGTCAGGTCCAATTCAATTGCATCTGTCATAGCTTTGAGAGCTTTCGGTTCATCCAAGGTTTTGAGCAAATACGTTGAGGATAAAAAGCGTGGATTATGTCAGTCTCTTAATAAGAGGATGCAAACAGCAAGCACTGAACGAAAACTCTAATTCTAAGATGCAAATAGACACTATTCACTGAGAAATTATTTTTATGTAATATTTTTTTTAAATTGTAAAAAAAATGCCAAACTGCTGATTGTTGAAATGACAGATATATTACAAAACAATTACGTTTACTCAATTCTTCGAGAAAATTGACCGATCGACAAACAAAATCTTTCAAATTTATTACGTGTTCTTTATGCATCATCATTATTATTATCGTCATTATTAAAACACGTTATACGTTTTTATATTAGACTATTATATATAATTATATATATTTTTACGGACATTTATTATTTTGTTTATCATTTATTTAAGAAGATAAATGAAAATTCTGGGCTACCTATTTGACATTCTCGTTAACTTTGTTAAGTCGACGCATTGATTATTCACTTACCCTAAGATATTTTACCCTAAGATATTTTAGTTTACTATACTGTTATATTTAATTTATTTTATAATAATAACGCCAATC